GGGTGGGGCATGGGGGAGAGGAGGGCAGGGGCAGGGGAGGAGGGCGGTGCGTGAGGCGGGGAGAGGCAAGGGGAGGGGAGGCGGTGGAAAGAGGCAGGGGGAGGAGGGCGGTGCGTGAGGCGGGGAGAGGGGAGGGGGTGGGACAGAGGGAAGGGAGGGGAGGCGGTGGGGGAGGGGAGGGGAGTTCAACTCAAAGTGCGGCACCTGGAAGGAGAGAAAAGTCAGCGAGGGTTCGTAACAAGAGGTGTCGTTTCGATTCGAAGCAGCATTGCGTGACATGCCTACCGGTGCGTTAAATATTGTATGAGTGCAGTAGCGAGTTATATTGGTATTACTAACGGTATATAGCGCTTTGTAGTGAACCTATATAATTTAAAAGCACTGTGTGTGCGTGCATGCGTGCGTGCGTGCGCGTGTAATATCACAGCAGAGAAGCAGCAACCTTTCCCACTGACTTCCTGCCCCCCTCCCCTGCGCGAAATCTGACGTCATCGACCCAAAAATGGCCGCCGCGGGGCACCGACCTGCACGACTCTGTAGCCGAGCATCTCCAGGTGGCGCCACTTCATCACGCCCTGCGCGAGCAGACGGTTCTCGTTGGAGCAGTACTGTGCTGGCGACGTCACGTTCATGGCAACCCTGCAGATGCACAAAAAACCCACTCCTGCCATCTAGTGTTCGACAAAGCAACAACTCTTTGCAAAGCAAATCTTAATTAGCATCGTGGGGTGTACTGAAGATGATGATTTCGCATGGCGACGTATTGATACCTTGACACAAAGCATTAAATGCTTATACTGACCGTCTCTCAGGAAATCATACTGTATATATACATGTAACTCGTATACAAGAATCACTCAAGGAATATTCCACGTTATGTTACACGATCAAACCCGTACGTAAGGGATAACCCAAATTTCTTCGCAGACAGGTGTCTGTTCTATAGGAGTGGTTTCACTGTACAACAGCCACTGCAGGGAAATCCAAAAAGTGCCCTTCACGGACAAAGCTGGCCTTTCTATACAAAATGTCAGCTAACACCAGCGTTTGACTGCACATTGTCGGCACTGTACAACAGCCACTGCAGAGAAATCCAAAAAGTGTCCTTCACGGACAAAGCTGACCTTTCTACAGAGGTATTAGCTAACACCGGCGTTTGACTGCACATTGTCGGCTCTGTACAAGAGCCACTGCAGAGAAATCCAAAAAGCGTCCTTCACGGACAAAGCTGGCCGTTCTATACAAAATGTCATCTAACACCAGCGTTTAAATACACATTTTCGGCGGCGCGGCAAACACGCAAGCCACCCGCACGCCGTTCTACCCGTCCCGGAAACGTGCGCCGCGACGAGGGAACTGGTCGACACCGGAGTAGCGGCGCACGACGAATGCGATTGTCGTCGTCGATGGCAACCCCACCTTTGCGCGTCTGGCGGCAGCAGCACGGCGTCCTCCCCGCTCGCCCACAGCGCTGCCGCGTTCGATCTCGGGATCAGATGTTCGACGGGCATCGGCTGTCCTTTTCCGTCCAGGACAAACTCGAAATCTGAAACGCGACGAGGCGCGGTCGTGAGAGGCACCTGTGTGTGAGCACTCGCGCGAGTTGGTTTGGCCCTGAACTTCTCTAAAACTCTTGCTTCGATGGTCGCACGACATTCGGTGTGAAGGCCAGAGGCCAGAAGGGCCCGTTGTTACAAGCAAAATTAGTCTTAAAGGAAGTATTGCGAGATTTTTGCTCAGAAACACTGAATCCAAAAAAAACATGGCTAAATTTAGTCTCACCTGACAGCAGAAACAACACTGATCACACCAACATTAAAAACGCTAAGATTTTATGCAGTTATAGCATAGAAAAATGGATTTGACCACATCATACCAGCTCAATCCAAAATATAAATGGCGCCTTCAAACCAAGTGCATAATTAAAACAAAAGGCCGTGCAATTCTGTGTGGTAAATGTTATTGAATTTTTATGTCAATAGTTCAGAGCACTTTCTGTCATTGTCATTCCCGTGTTACTATCCGACTGGTAATCCACAAGCTTCTCTAATAACAGACTTTACGCGGTATTAGTACTACACTGCTGTTACGCTAGTATGAACGTCTGTGTTTACACTCTGACCTGATTTCTACGGTGCGTGGTATGCATTTCTGCACCGTGATATATGTCTCGCGCTACCGCGAGAAAATCCGAGAGATGGCAACGGTAAACAGAAACAGAACACAAAATTGTAATCGTGCATGATTTCATTGGATTTGGTGAATACAAAGGTTCTAAGGCATTTTATCGTTACTCTAGACAATTGCTGTTACTCAAGCAATAACGGTAGGTATCATGAAAGTGGGGAAAACACTGGAAAACTCTCGCAATAATTACTTTAACATTAGTCATAAAATAAAATTTTCATCGTAGACTGCTGACAGAAGCACGCTAGAGTTTCTCATAGGCAGCATATAGAGAAAAAGAAACTATTAAGACTAATGTTAGGACTAATTTGGTTTCTGACAACCGGGCTGTAAACACTTTCTAGTTGACCAACTCGAGAGTGTTCCGTAGACGCGAGAGCAGGTCAGCTCGAACGGGGAGCACTCACCTATCCTGTGGTAATACTGTGAGGTCGTGTTGGCTCTGTAGAACTGGACACCACCAAGGGCCTCTGCCAACACATGTTCTACCTCCAGCTTCAGTGGCCTCCTGGGCTCTGGAAACGATGACAATTAGTCGACTATGTGCTATTACTAGTAGCACAAGTTCTCTTGTTACTAAATGGGTAGAGAAAGATAGAAAGAGAGAGAGAGAGGGAGAAAACGCGAGCGAGAGAGAGTAGAGAGCACACGAGAGAGATAGAGAAAGAAAAAGAGAAAGAGAAAGAGAGAGAGAGAGAGAGAGAGACAGAGAGAGAGGAGGAGAGAGCTCAAGAGAGAGAGAGGGAGAGCAAAAGTGCGAAAGCATGCCCAAAAGAGAGAGAGAGAGAGGGGGGGGGAGAGATAGAGAAAGAGACGGAGAGAGAGAGAGAAAGTCACACAGAGAGAGCGAGAACGTGCAACAGAGAGAGAAAATGAGAGCGAAAGCACGCAAGAGAAAGAGAGAGGGGGGGGAGAGGGAGGCTTACCGTGCATGGGCAGGTAGTACTGGCAGTAAAGATCGTGGAACCACGGTACGGCATACTGTGGAAAGTCCAGCACCACACACCGGTTCAGCTTCATCAGAGTCCGCTGCAGGATTTCGCTCGACTTCTGCCGAATCCCAACTGTAACAAAACGACGGGATGAATATTTCCAGCAACGTAACGAGAAGATCAGTGGCTATAAACAACGGCAGATTGCAGAAGGTTCGTGCAGGTCGTACACGTGATTAGTTTAACCCTAACTCTCAAACCTAGCTCTGACTCTCAACCCTAACTCTGACTCTCAACCCTAACTCTGACTCTCAACCCTAACTCTGACTCCCAACCCTAACCTTGACTCTCAACCCTAACTCTTAACACTAATCCTAACTCTTAACACTAATCCTAACCCTAACTCTTTACGCTAGCACTAACTCCCAACCCTAACTTTAACTCTTAACACTAACCTTGACTCTCAACCGAACTCTTATCCCTAACCCAAAGTCTTAACCCTAACCCACACACTAGGCTTATTCACGTGTTGTCATACATACGGGATTTAAATCAATCGGGCCAATCAATCACTCAACTACACATGACGTACCACTTTCACAATGCTTGTCAACCTCCATGACAAACGGCAGGCTGAAGATCTTCCTTGCCAGCACTTCGGGGAAGAGGTTGAGCTCGGTGAGGGCGTTCGCCAACTGCAGATGGTCCATCGCAGAGATGGAGCCGTCGTCGTTCTCAAACAACTGCAACGTGAGAGGCGAATATTCAAGCGATCAGGAGTAAATCGACTTACTTTTAGAAACGCAAATCAATCGTGCAAAAATTAACAAGCAAAGCACCATTGCCATTATGTATATTATTTATATTATGAGTGAACAAAGAAAGATGAACTGCAAAAAGTTAACGAGTAAATTGACTAATGAAACCACAATCTCCGATTTCATGCAGGTGGGGGAAAGTCAGGGGTAAATCTTGCTGCTGTCAGCATCCCTCCTGTGATATTATACACACGTACACACACACAGTACTATTATGTTATATATATATATATATATATATATATAAATACATATATACATATTATACATATATAGTAGCAATCCGTAGATACGTGCCTTCATGACCACCCTCAGCAGAGCATCTAGCTTCTCAGGCTGATAACCGAACTTCCCCAGCATCTTCATGACCGCGAGCGCGCGGCCAAAGTCGACGTCCTCGACGTCGTCGCCGGCGACGTGACGAGTCAGCGTCTCCATGACGACGGAATCGCGGTATCCGAGCCTGGCGAGGAGGTAGCAGGTGCGCGCGACCTGCTGCGGCTGCAGCGTCGGCAGCAGGCGCCGGTACTGCTGCATCAGCGTCGCCGCGGCAACGGCAAAGTCGTCCGGGCGGAGAAGCGCGGCGATGGTCGCGACGTGCGAGTTGAGCGCGTGCGCGTTCTCGATCTCTCCGCAGCGGCCGATCGCCTCGACGACAAGCTCTCTCCGCATCGACGCCAGCGGCGCGTCGTCGTCCTCGTCGCCACGGCGACGGCGGCGGACGTCCGCGCGCGGAACGAAGCCCTGCAGTACGGCGTGCACCTGCGGGAGGCGAAGCTGCGGCCGCATCGCGGCGACGCGCTCGCGCAGGAGCGACGCGGTGGCGTCATCGCGGTGACACGACGGCGCGAGGTAGGCGGCGATCGCGGAGACGGCGAGGGGCGACGCGCCGCGCTGCCGCCGCAGTTCGTCCGCGAGCGCGTCCCGCAGGAAGCTCTCGAGCCACGGGAGGCGGTACGGCGGCCGCGCGAGCAGCCGCAGCACGCTGCGCAGGCACGACAGCGTCGCCGCGACGTCCGGCCAGCGCGCGACGACGCGGCGAGCGATCGCGACGACGACGGCCGGCGGCGCGGGGGCGCGGGCGCGCCACAGCGAGCGCGCGCAGTGCTTCAGCAGCATGACATCGAACTCGGGCGCGTGCGCGGCGAGACGGTTCTCGAGCTCGCGGCCGAGCGCGCCGTGACGCGCGCCGCGCCCGCTCTCGATCGCCGTGACGACGTTGATGATGTCGGCGGCGCGGTCGCAGCGCGGCAGCAGTGCGTGCGCGCGCTCGCAGGCCGCCGCCGCGGCGACCCGCGCGTCCCGCCCGCCGCACATCTGCGCGTACAGCGCCACCTTCGCCGTCTCGAGCGCGCTCGCGCCGGGCAACCCTGCGATCAACGCCGGCGCCATCTTCTCGAGCAGTGTCCGCGCGGCGGCGCCCCGCGGCGCGAAGTGCGCGGCGCCCTCTAGAAGGTCGGCCATGTCGCGCATCGACGCGGCGTCGCGGTCCACCATCGCCACGGCGATCGCGAGGAGGCGCGAGAGGAAGCCTTCGGAGAGGAAGTAGCCGGTGTCGAGCAGGATCCCGGCGAGGGAATCCAGCGTGAGGTCGCGCGTGTGCCCGGCGTCGACGCGCCGCTGCAGCGAGGCGGTGATGCGCGAGTGCACGGGGAATCCGCACCTCTTCAGCATGCTCGCGCTCTCGCACACGCGCCGCAGCGCCGGCCAGCCAAACCCGTCCAGCCGGTCGAGGCACGCGAGCAGCAGGGTCGCGACGAGGTCGTCGTCGGGGGCGACGTGCAGCCGCAGGGCGGCGTGCAGCGCGGCCGAGAGCTCGTCGTCCGTGAATGCGCGCGCGCCGTCGCGCGCCACCTCCCCCAGAGCGCGCCACTCGTCGCCGCGCGCGGCCGGCTCCGCGACGACGACGATGTCCGAGTTGACGACCGTCTGCACGTACAGCATGCGTTCGTTCTCGGCGTACGCCCACGACAGGCGCCGCAGACGCGCGTACGCAGTGTCCTTCAGCGCGAGGAAGGCCTCTAGCGCGGCGGCGGCGGGCGTCGCCGTCGCAACGTCAACGACGCGCGGTTGTCGGTGACGGACACCGGTGCTATCGGCTGTGAATTCGCTTGCTTCGCTGCTGATTTCGCAGGCGCTGGTGCCGAGCGGGCGAGCCGACGTGCTCCCGAAGGAAGCTGGATTTTCTCGGATAATGCATGATGAGGTAGGTGGCCGCTGCGTCGCTGCGGTGAGACATGCAGGGTGAAGTCGGCGCGAATTTGTAGCACACGATTGAGATCGCGTCCAGACGCGGAATAACCAGGCCCTTGTCCGATCCGAGTTGGCATGGCATCGTCTGACATAGCGAATAACCATTTCTGCATTGAATTTAGGTTTCAGTAGAGCCTACTGCTACGACCATGTCATCACTAGTAATAGGATAATGACATTCACAGCACAAAATTCAAACGCAAAAAATTCAGTCACGACTTCGTACTTGTCATTTCTTTTCAATTCTCATTCAGTCTCAGACATTCCTTCACAGAAAATATAATAACCGACACGGCGATTTTATGCCGAAAAAGTATATAAAAATACTATAGGCCTACATAGGTAGAGTAATCATAGTCATTGGCAAATCAATGTAGGCAAAATTTCATGTAGCGTGTAGGCAGTGTTCAACATTGTGTTGCTGCGTTGCTAATCATGCCGTTACCATGGGGGCTGCCATGTTCACTATGACCTCTCACGCGTTTCGCGGACGAGAATTTCGCAATATTTATATATTACGATAATACAAAAATAGATAATTTCAGCAACAGTATTAAGCATTCTTCGTTAAATTAAACTGTGCGATTTTATGCACTTTCACGTTTTAGAATAGCTTTACTTTGAATTGATTTATTTTTAGCGGGATTTCTAAACATTGCTTGTTTGCAATATGGCGAATCATATCAAAAACATTAGGAGACGAAGTAGTATGTTCAAACCTGTTATTCAGGCAGAAACGGATTATTCATATGTTTTCCTATTCGATAGACGGAAAGGAAATGAACCAGAGAAACACATCTCACTTGAAGGATTGTCTAGCTTTAACCTCTTTAAAGAAAAGGTGGAGAAGGTGTGTAACTTGGAAGTCGATGATTTCAGACTCCAGAATTATAAATATAATACTACAGATTACAGTCTACAGAAATAAATTTTCTATTTCATTTAATTGTTTATAATGAAACAGTTTTGTCAAGTCAACAAACTACACAAACAATTAAAACTTGTCTAGATCGGCATTGACAATCCCATGCATTTCCCAATCGGCACTACCCCCATTTTATCCATTTACACAGTGACACAACTAGTATTGAACTAACGCTCATACTCAGTCATAGGGTCTATGTCCCCCAGGGTACTGCCGGAGGTACGGTCCGGTATACCGGAACGTACCCTGGTAACTATTTGATATGGTTAGGGAGTAGACGTAGGCGACTCCCTAGACTCGTTAGTGGAGTAGGCGAGGTACGGTCCGGCATATTAGATAGTACCAGGGTACGTTCCGGCAGTACCCTGGGGGACATAGACCCTCTCAGCACAACTAACAGTGTCAGTGGATCATTACAGGCTCATATATCCACTTCATTTGACGTGTAAAATCACCAAGCATAAGAATAAACTTTAATCACTTAGATGTTTGTGACATCATCAGTATAGACTTAATTAAATTGATAGAATTTAAAGGAAATTTTGTATAAAGGCACTATTCCTTTCATTTAAAACATTAAAAGTCCTGCGTGGGTATGTTTCTGCAGTTGTAATTAAATCCATTCGTTACACCTTTTATTGGGAGAAATAATGGCAACTTATTGGCATGTGTTCTCAGCATTTGCTGTTACTTACCATTATAACATTAGTGCAATGTGTGTAACAGTGAAATATGTTCGAAAATATTTACAAACAGTGATTTTAAACAGCATAGGTTTCTAACAGTGAAATAGCAAACATTGCATTCTTTTCCCAGTAATTAATTGTAACTAATTGATCTGTTAGGCATTCCATTGCTCTGTCTTTACTTGCAGGTTTTTGGGCTCAAGGCAAACGAACAATTTGTGATAGCAACGACGGAAAGGGCAGAAGTAAATGATGACGAATCTTACGGTAAACTCGCCTGCAGTTTTCCCGAAGAGTCCGGTATCACCACTGAAGCTAAGAACAGTGTTCCTGCTGCCTCTTGCCCCCGTGTATTCCTGCATAATCGAACGGTGTGAATTTCCGCTTTTAATCTAAGACCAGTATTCCCACTGAACCTAACCCCGCATATTCCCTCTAACCCTAGGCCACAATTACAGAAATATTTGTTTGCCCTCACCCAACCCAGGCTGAGAAGTTTGTGTAGGTAGGTCGGCTTTTTTTGAGGGCGGGGATCTTTTTACAAATTCAGCATGGTGTCTACATGCTCGGGTGTGCTTGTGTGGAGATACCTTTTATGTTGAATGTTTGTTTTGCTTGGTACATATAATGTATTGCCTATAGATTTATATAATGTACAGTGATACAATTTGTTAAAAAAATGGGGAAAAAGGAAGATCAATAAAAAATTTTGAGTGGGCCCCTTTATGGCGGGTCGGTCGGGTGAGGGCAAACAAACAATATTTTTATCATGGCCCTAACAGCAGTATTCCTGCTGCTCCTGGCCCCCGCATATTCCCTCAACCCTAACCACAGTTTTCTTGCTGCCTCTGTTCCCTGTTTATTCCCAATAACCCTAACAGTAGTATTCCTGCTGCCACTGTCCCCTGTTTATTCCCGCTAACCCTAACAGTAGTATTCCTGCTGCCTCTGTCCCCTGTTTATTCCTGCTAACCCTAACAGTAGTATTCCTGCTGCCTCTGTCCCCTGTTTATTCTGGCTAACCCTAACAGTAGTATATTCCTGCTGCCTCTGGCCCCTGTTTATTCCTTCTAACCCTAACAGTTAGTATTCCTGCTGTCTCTGGCCCCTGTTTATTCCCGCTAACCCTACCAACAGTATTCCTGCTGCCTCTGTTCCCTGTTTATTCCCGCTAACCCTAACATCAGTATTCCTGCTGCCTCTGTCCCCTGTTTATTCCCACTAACCCTAACAGCAGTATTCCTGCTGCCTCTGTCCCCTGTTTATTCCCACTAACCCTAACAGCAGTATTCCTGCTGCCTCTGTCCCCTGTTTATTCCCGCTAACCCTAACAGCAGTATTCCTGCTGCCCAATGGCCCCCGTTTATTCCCGCTAACCCTAACAGCAGTGTACCTACCACCTCTGTCCCCTGTTTATTCCCGCTAACCCTAACAGTAGTATATTCCTGCTGCCTTCTGTTCCCTGTTTATTCCCGTATTGACGCCTCACCGATTCAGTATTCCTGCTCGCCTCTGTCTCCCTGTTTATTTCTCAATAACCCTAATACAGGCAGTTATACCTACACCCCTGCCCTCATGTATTCCTCCTTCGGCTAGCGACAGCTCGTCAGCGTGTCGGCCCATGCTGCTCGTACGCGACTAGCGCAGCTAGTGCTGAGTCTAACAGTGTGTATCGCCGCCAAATCTAACAGCAGTGTACCTGCTGCCCTCGTGTGGTGTCCGTGGTTGTCAGGTCGGGTGCGTTCTGCGACCGGCCGCGATCGCCGGTGAATCTCCTGCTCCCAATGGCCCCGCGCCGTTTATTCCCTCGGCTAACATCCTAACAGCAGTGTACCTGCGGCCCCTGGTGTCGTTGCAGGGCAGCACGTCGGGCGACGGCGCGACGCTGTCCTGCTGCGTAGCGCGCCTGGCCAGGCAGCTGGCTGGCTGCTTGACTAATACGGGCGAGGACGCCGTCGAGTACACGCCCACTACGACACGCTCGTCAAGAGGCGTCTACGAGTACTACGCATCCGAGGGACACAAACCGTCACTACGATACGTACGCGCCGTGCGGATCGGTGGCGCCCCCTTCCGTCTGTGTTGCAGGCGATCACGGTGGCCGGCCCCCTCACGGTCGGCAGTCTGCGTTGCGAGTGCAGGAGTCGTCGTCTGGTTGTCGTACGGCCGTCTCGTACGAACCCACAATTCCGTCGTATCTATTACGTGGCAGCGGGTGGCCGCGTTGGAATGCGGCGTCGTTGGTCTGAGGCGCATGGAGCGATTTTTGCATCGGCGTGAAGCGGAAATTAAAGTTCTCCAAGATCTAGGAGGCTGTCGTAGTTTAGCAGAAGTTGTAGCGCCTGGGAGGCGAGTAACATCGTTTTGGCCCGCTTTCTCGTGGCCGTTAAATTAAATTTAAATAGCATTGATCGCTGAGGCTGTGTGATAGTGTCGTCCATTCGTCGTTTCCTCTTTCCAGCGCAGCTTACGCGTTTTGCTGTAGCTCATCGATGAACTCTCTGGCCGCGTGGACGTCACGACCGATGGGCGCGATCGGCACATCGAGCTGAGACTGGTTGAAGTTGTCTGTGCAGCTGGCCGAGTTTCAGGTTGTCATAGCGACGAGTCGAGGACGGCTAGGAGCATGAGGCATGAGAAGGCGCAGGGGAAAGGAGAAATAAGCAGGGGGAAGAGTAGAGCATCATCTGAGACCTAGAGCACCGCCGGACGACGAGTAGAGATGAGATGAGTGCGAGAGGAGACGAGAGCGCGCGACAGAGAGAGCGGCGCAGAGCTTCGCAGAAGAGAGAGAGAGTGCGGTAGAGAGAGAGAAGAAGTGAAAGAGATACAGTAAAGGGAGAGAGAAAGGCGGAGAGGTAGACGTGAGGAGGAGAGAGAGAGATTGGGAGAGACGCGAGACAGAGAGAAGGAAAAGAGATAGAGTATCAAGGGACGAGAGATAGGGGAAGGTAGAGTGAGAGAGAGAGAGAGATAGAGATGAGTAGACAGCGAGAGATCGAGTGATTGAGGAGAGAGAGAACAATGAGAGAAAAGAGAAAGAAGGGTGAGGAGACGAAGGTACAGGTTGGTGCCAGAAAAGGATCGGAGAGGAGAGAGAGAGAGAGACGCAAGCACGGTTGCTTCTTCAATTGGCTATTTGCAAATATATTCAATGGCATTCTACCTGACACTTGTTAGCTAAGTGAAGTCGGAGAATTTTTTGGCCACGGTCCGCGATTGCAGATGTTAGCGCCCAGAGCTCGGGCCGGAATCATGTCTGTGTCATTGAACACTGCAAGGCATGACGTCGAGAGAGCTGAACGAAGTGGTCCATCTACAGACTGTCGAAGTTCACTCAAAGGAATAGCCGCGATGTAAGCATTACGTACAAAAGATGATAACTATCATTGGCCACGGGAAAAAGTTTGATGCCCCGGACTGAATTTACGTGCAAATATCTGCCAAGCTTTTGTTTTGAAGTGTGCGCATTTCGTTGTCCATATTCTCCTCTCTATACCGTGTTTGGCATTCCCCGTTCCCTGCCGCTGGGTCGCGTGGTGTCTATTAATCTAATATATTATTATATTAAATATAGTAGTATGATATTCAATATATTATAATGTCACGTGGAATGCACAGCTATAAGCTTTGATGGTCAGTTGTATGAGAACTTCTCTAACGAAATGCTAGCTGATGTATCACGTAGGTGCGTCGGCCATAGTTGGCAGGACGGCGGGCGGCCTGGCGACGGCCGCGGGCCGTGACGACGAGACAGTGCCACGCTTCCTCAACAGCGACATCTCCTAGCTTGGCGTCTGTGGCAATGCAGGGCGGTCTTCTTCATCGGCACGTCAGCGCTGAGTCGTCCGCTCTCCCCGCCTCGAGGTGATCAAACATGGCTCGGCGTCGAACAAGATGCGTCCCGGCGACCAACAGATCGGTAGCGGCGAACGGACTCGCAAACGGCCAGTTAGATGCGATTATCTATTGACTTGACTAGGGCCACTTTAATTTATCTTACATTTTTTTTTTTTAGGTTTAGCTTAGGTTTGCGGTTGAGTTAGGTTAGGTTAGGGTTGGGTTTTTTTTTTTAATTGCTTATAGTCCCCCTAAGCTGCTATAGTCAATAAATACGGGGGCATCCTAACTGCCGGGTGCAAACGGATTGCGGTCTCGAGTGCGACGAAAGATGGCTGCTTCGAGACGGGATCGTTCTTGTGCGTTGCGGGCTTAAGTCCCGGTTCCCCACGTCTGGTGTTGTCGACGGCATTCTTCCATATGAAATTGGCATTTTAGTTTCTTTCGTAAAAGCCTCATGGCGCCATAAGCCTCTGATGTCTGTTTCTTTGAGGTTTGGTAGAAAAGCAAATATGCAGAATTCTGCGGACTGACATCGCTTAACAGCGTGCTGTGTGGGATTAGATCACTTATTTACGTCATATCCCATCGTTGCCTCGTGGCTCATCTTCGTTTGCTTAAAATCTTCACGATCGTGAACTAGACTGATTTTCAACCGGCTGACTCGAGGACTTCACACTGATCTCTAAGTACCGAAGGAGCACTTGGGAAGGCAAAGGGAAATAACAAGGACGGTCGATATATAGGGTTCATCCAGAAAGAATAAAGATTCTCCCCCCACTTGCTAACCAGACGGTGAAGTCGGTATGTATGATCGTGTCGGACTTTACAGCTAGTGAGAGGGAGGGACATGAGAGAGAGAAGGAGAGATAGAGAGAAATAAAGAGGAGGAGAGAGAGAGAAGAAGAAGCAGAGAGAGAGAGAGAGAAACTCGAAGAGAAGAAGAGAAGAGCAGAAAATAAATACGAGAGATAGAGAGAAAGTAAGGAGGGAGACGAAAATATAAGATAGAGAGCAGGAGTGAGAGAGAGCAAGAGAGAGAGAGAGCGACAGAGAGAGAAAAAAAATATAACATGAATGCACTTCAGTGACCTCTCCCAACGCGCGCGACCTTGACCTCCACCGACCTATGACCTCATGCATTGCAGGTCGGCGACGGCAGCCACCTCGCCGCGGGCGACGACGCTGACCTCCTGCGCGACCTTGTTGCCGAGGAAACGCGCAAGCAGCAATTCACCGTCGTCGCGATCTCCGGCATCCCCGAGGAGCACGTGCACTACCTGCGCTACGGCTACGCCCTCTGGTGCACGCAGCTCGCGTGAGTAGCGCCCCGTGTCCGGCAGGCTGTCGGGATTTTTGCTTTTTTTTAAATTTGTAATTCGCGAGGTCGGTGCGGATCCGTTGAGGAAGATCGTTGCGGATCCGTTGAGGAAGATCGTTGCGGATCCGTTGAGGAAGATCGTTGCGGATCCGTTGAGGA